GTTTACAAATTTTATTATAATATTTTTCATATATGTTTCTATTAGTATGAAATGGGAAACAATTTAATAAATGAGATGTATTTAGTAAAAAACAAAATATATTTATAAAACCCAATCCCTTTGAGACCCAACTGATCAATGATTGTCATTAACTATAAATGATAATTGAATTTAAACAGTTATTTATTATTTACATTAAATTTTAATTTATAAGAAAGTAATAAATATTAACCAAAAATGTATTGAATATATGGCATACCTTTAATTTTGTAATCAAGGATATACTGTATAAGTTTGGTTTCGTACGCAATAATCGTTGAAATACTTGAACACAAATTTATTTTGGTTATAAAGTACTGCCAAGTAATGTACAATAAACACCAGGGTCAGTAAAAATTGTATAAATACCATGACAGCAATGTTCTTATAAATAAAACTACTTTCCCGTAAACAAAAAAGGTATAGAAATACAGTACTGTTATGAATATAGTTATGAGAAACCAACAAATAGCTAAAAAATTATATTTTGTTTGAATTAATATGAAAAGATTTGGCACAATATAACATTACATATTAAATAAACATTCAATGCATTTGACTTGAATTTTATAAACAGGTAATAATAAACAGCAACACAATATGTGGATTTAAAGGCTAAATTTTATTACAATTTAAATCAATTGACATTTTTCATGAAATATTAATCGTATTTCAGTGAATTCCTGCCAATAATTATAATAAAATCATTATATCATCAAAATTGCAATCAATTAGCGAGTCGTACGTGTTTTGTGTCGACATTTCAATTAAAGTTAAACTCAATTTAAAAGTTATTACAAGTAATAAATATGTTATGAATTCATTAAAAGACAAACAATAGGAGGAAAGCCATCACAAGACAGATCACGGGGAACATGAAATCCATGTTTTTCAGGACTTTGATCCCAACGATGGCGTACGGGATGAGTAGCTCTTTGGGACATAGTTTGCGGGCATAGCCTACGATCAGAGCTCCAAACACCGACCGAGTGTCGGCGCCAATAGCTCCCACAGTGGCCCTACAGGTGCCGATGATGTCCCGGTGCACTGCACTCGTGCGCAACGATCGCAATACTGGCAGCGCTGGCATACAGTGCCCATTGGTGGCCACTGTCTGCCCGTTCAGGGATGAGTCACTGGTACTGATCCGACTGACCACAGGACGAATGGACGGCCCTCTCAACAGCTGTTCATAAGACAACACATTTAGCCATCAATTCAATACACCATTACATGTATGACATACCAGTGCGCGGCTCACAGCCTGGTGTTTGGCGATCGCTTGAATCAGTCATTGCTTACGAAGTGATGTTTGCTTTGAGTGTATATTCAACACAAACTGTAAGACAAAATCAATTCAATTCATGAATATATCGTAAAATGCATTCAAATCGCAAAACACATTGAATTGAATGCAAATAATGTCCGACACTATAGACTCCGTGCAATGCATGACGTAATGTCGGCCACACATCCAACGCATACTATCCTTGCATTCAATTCAATGCTTTTCGCACTTATTTCGCAATTTTATGCTTAAATCTAATTAAATGATCACTAATTTAGTGGAAATTACCGTTCAATTGATGTAAATGTATATAAAATACACTGAATTTAGTGAATGAATGGGACTTACAATCAGTGAATGTGGAGATGTCTTCACGTGAAGTGACTGTCAGTCTATGCGTTACGTATAGTGTCGGACATTATTTGCATTCAATTCAATGTGTTTTGCGATTTGAATGCATTTTACGATATATTCATGAATTGAATGAATGAACGGAAAACACAACCAAAACCTCAAACACTGTCTAAACATTACAACCGATTCTCTCCACAGAATTCATACGAAAACCCAAAATCTGTTTCACACGACTAGTCAACCGTTTGAATGCCTGACCATAAGTACGACACCACTAACCCTGTGGTCCGGGAGCCCAAAGCCTGGGGATGGCGTCGATTCTGGGCTATAAGTGCTCGCAATTACGGCGTGTGGCCTGTTCTCATCATATCGGGTGCCATATATCCCGGTGCCCTCACGTGGTTCCTATACCATCGCCTCAACAACACTCCCGATGCGACATTCACCCGCCGGGGAGTTGGGAACCCGAGCCCTTTAACAGGTTCGAGCACCGGCATGCAACGTTGGGTCCCATCGATATGGAGCTCGTACTCCGTGAACACCCCGACCCCGGTTTGACTACAAGATTCCACAAGACAACACTCCCGATACGATATTCACCCTCCGGGAGCTCATACTCAATGAACACCCCCGACCCCCGACCCCGGTTTGACTATAAGTACGAGTCGATTGACAAACCATCGAAGAAGTGATTGTCGTTTAAAAGTCGATGTTTTCCATTCATTTCAATGGTTTTATAAATATATTTTGTTTTTTACTAAATACATCTCATTTATTAAATTGTTTCCCATTTCATACTAATAGAAACATATATGAAAAATATTATAATAAAATTTGTAAACTTTCTGACTAATGATAAATAATACTAAATTTTTCATAAAATTAAATGTTACCAGGGAAATAATTTATAAACTTATATTGAATTTGGTTTGTATGCAAAATGTGTATTAATTTTATTTTATAATTCATTTACTAATTCATAGTCTATTCATTAATTTATTTAAACTATAAGTGTTTGCACTGTAAGAGAGTCACACTTTTCACATAATATTACATTACATTATTCACTCATATATCACACACTTTACAGTTAATAGGCCATAAGCCATAAGCCAACACTTTTTAGTTTTAGTGATCACTCGCATCACATACAATGGCAAACATCTTGAATCTGATCCGACATCCAGCGATGTCCAAGATATTGCCACCACTGCTATCATCGCCTAATTGTCACGTGATTATCACGCGCTGTATCGCCGCCTATAAACATACGAGTGGTGGCCAATCACCACCACTACTAGCCATCAATGGTGAGCACCGGTACCATCAGCTGCGAGGTCTGGCCAAGAGGTGGTTCCCCGACAAGGAGTACTACAAGGAGTTGGAGGGCGAGACCTTCGCCTACGCGGACGACAGCGCCCGGTGGGTGGGCTGGGAGTCAAAGATCCAGTCGCGCCGACCCCGTGAACGCCACGTGCGGAATATGGTCTTCAACTTCGGACCCCAACACCGGGCGCTCACGGAGTGCTACGGTTGTGGAGAGGGCCGACCCCCATATCGGGCGACAGAGAAGCTCATGGAGTATAAGACGTATACACAGGCGCTGCCATACATGGATCGACTGGACTACGTGTCGATGATGTGCAACGAACAGTGCTATTCACTGGACATCGAGAGGCTGTTGAGCATACAGGTGCCCAAACGGCCCAATATATCAGGGGTATGGTCTCTCTCTCTCTCTCTCTCTCTCATATTGAATAATTATTATCTAATCCCAGACAGTAATGTTTGCGGAGATGACGCGTATACTGAACCATTTGCTGCACACGGGTACCGGTGCCATGGATTTGGTGCCATTACGCCATTCTTGTGGATCTGCGAGGAGAGAGAAAAAGTTTGTTTTAATTTTCAAACCAATTATCACTTAATAATTATATTTTCTAAACCAATAGCTAATGGAGTTCTACGAGCGGGTGTCGGGCGCCCGTATGCACGCCTCGTACATACGCCCGGGCGGCGTATCCCAGGACCTGCCCATTCACATAATGGACGACATATACCGGTGGGCCAACCAGTTCTCCGAAAGGCTGGACGAAGTGTAGGATCTGTTAGAGGGCCAGATATGGAGGTCCCGGACGGTGGGCGTGGGGGTCATCAGCGCCGAAGACGCCCTCAATTGGGGAATGAGTGGTGTTATGATCCGCGGGTCGGGTATTAAATGGGATTTACGTAAAACACAGCCGTATGACAGTCACGAGGACTTCGACGTACCCATCCGTCTCAAAGGCGACTGCTATGATAGGTGTGTGCCGTTTGGGGCATACCAGTGCGACCTACCAGTCCTTTAACGCCTAATGAACTATACATTCCCTATAAAACTAGACATTTATGTCGAGTTGAGGGATGCGACAGTCGATACGCATAATACTCCAGTGCCTGAACCGGATGCCGGCCGGGGAGGTACGGGTGGACGACCACAAAGTGGTGCCCCCATCGCGGGCGGACATGAAGTCGCCGGTGGAGGCACTCATACATCACTTCAAGTTCTTTACGGAGGGCTATGGCGTACCCGCGGGCGCCACCTATACGGCGGTGGAGGCGCCGAAGGGTGAGTTCGGGCTGTATATGGTTAGCGACGGCAGTTCCCGGCCCTACCGGTGCAAGATTAAGGCCCCGGGGTTTGCACACCTGTCCGCACTCGACCACATGT